AGTGGCACTGATGACACCACAAACAGTGTCCTCCTCCCAAAGAGCCAGTGAAAGCACCAGATCTGTCCGGCACACCTCGAGGAAGGTCTGTCCTCTCACTGAGTTCTGCTTTACATAACTCCTGACATCTTACAGAAGGCAGATGATGGAGAGTGAATTCTAAATTCTGCAATGACTCTAAAATTTTGTAGCCGACCACAAAGCACGCAATCATCCGGCGAGAGGGTCTCCTCTTTGTAATCATTAACATCATCAAGTGACAATGAAGAAAAAGCAACTTGTGCTTTTCCAATTAAAACGCGATTTTCATCTGACCCGTTTCTTAATTCTGCCACACGTTCAAAAAGAGTGAAAAAAGTCTCAGGGTCTTCTTCATTAAATTTCGTAACGAGTTTTGATACGAGTGAAAAAGTCACACTCCCTCATCAAGTTCAATTTGAGAGCTTTGCTTTTTCCATCTCGATCTTACCCTGTTCAGAACGGTCTTTCAATTTCTCATGCTCCATCTGTAAAAGTAGCTGTTCTTTTTGTTGTTCAAATGACAGATTAGTTTGCAATGAAGACGCCACTGGTACAGACTTTTCCATTTTTAAAATGCCCTTTTCAATCAAATTCGTTCTTAAAATTACTTCCAATATTTGTGGGGGGCACCATATATGAATCTAGTACCATATCAATTAGAATGCAAAATATAGTATAATAGGGAAATTATTCAAAATCATATTCAGTGCTGATTATCAGATGCCAGAAATGTACAAAAGATGTTAATGTTCTATTTATTTTTGTGCAGGTATGGGTTAGGAACTCCAATATTCTTTGGATTGATTGGAAGTTTCTTTATAATTCTTGGATCTGTATTTTATGCTGTGACAATCATCCCGACCAGGTAAATAATCTTCACTGTTACAGAAAAACTTACAAAAAATGTATAGCAACGAGGAAGATAAATCAATCTACAATTCTCTTGTAGAAAGTTGACTGCATTGGCAAGAACAACAGACACCCCTCCATCATACGCCCAGCGGACAGCGAGTAAAGCACTGTACACTTCTGCATACTACGCACCCTCAAGACAATCTATACTTCTCAGCCAATCGAGTGGCTCTCGCATCTCCAGGATGTCTCAGGCCACTGGGGAGAAAATATCTCCCAGAGACACATTTGTGTGAACTTTAGAACAACTTTAGAAACTTTACAAACTTTAGAAAGGCTCTGTAACATTGCGACCATTAAAAAAATGCTACAATAAAATCTGTTCTGCAACATGTCAATTCATTTTTTAAATGTAGTAGTGTAATAAAAAAGTAAATTCATAGCTCCATTGGTTACAGTAATTTCAACTCACCATTTAATCATTTTCAACCATTACCTCACAATATAGTGCTTCTGCCTGAAATCTAAACTGACCTTTATCTAAATCCCTTAATTACTTTTGCACATTTGCACATCAGGCTTTTCACCTGTGACAATGATCATGTTCTCATTAATACTGTAAAATGTAAAAATCATTGTACTGTAAAATCACTTACTCATTTAGAACAAAACCGACCGATATCTAAATCTCTTATTTACTTTGAATGCTTGTGTGTTTAAGTCACTGTGGGACTGATATTTCTGCTAGACAACACTAAATACAATATAATTACATTTAAATCCAGAGGAGCACCAAAACTCACACTAAAAGCACTAAGGCATAATAGACATAACAGTGAGTCTTCTCTAAAGCTGCTTTGAAACCATGTGTGTTGTGAAAAGCACTGTACAAAAAAAGTTTTTTTAGTTTTTTCTGTTACCAGTTTTGTGTACGAGGTGACATTTGTAAGTATAAAAGCATGTAATACGGGTTGTTCTGAGCTTTATGTATATAATAAACAGTATGTCACAGAGTGGCACTGATGACACCACAAACAGTGTCCTCCTCCCAAAGAGCCAGTGAAAGCACCAGATCTGTCCGGCACACCTCGAGGAAGGTCTGTCCTCTCACTGAGTTCTGCTTTCGAAGATCATCTTTAGCTGCATCAGGCTCACCTCAGCATGCATTACAGAACGGTCATGATGTACACTGAAACAGGGTGCTTCGTAGCGTGCGTTTGCGGGTGGATCTTAGTGTGTTCCACTATGCCGACAAATTATTGGACTTATTCTGAAGTGGATAGTTTAGTTCTGACATCTGGCCACTATTTCTCCAACCTCTGGAAAGACTGTCTGTCTGACTCCACTGGCGTTACTGACTGCAAAGAGTTCCCCACACTGCTGGCTCTGCAGAGTGAGTATGACTAGAAAGTTACTTCATTCCAGTCAATAATGTCTCAGAGTGGATTCATGTTTGGAAGGAAAGTTCTGGATAAACAAACCTTAAAGCTTTGCTACAAAGTAAAAAAGCTCCTGGACTTTTGCACTATTAGTGCCTGCGGGGAGGACATGAAACATATGTTGACATTTTGTACCAATCAATCACAAGTAATTATGGAACAAAAACATCAAACCATTGTTTTTCTCCTTTTATATCTATCTAATACATGTATAAATGGGTAATATTCATTATTACATTCTGGAAACATAAGAAAACCAACAATTGCTCAGACACATTAATGTGCGATTAGTAATTCATTACTTTAGTTATTTAACAGCTCTTAATGAGACAAATCTCATTCAGTAATTACTGATTAGCCACTGAGGAACTATCTCAGTCCTATATTTGCTATTACTTACTGTAAAAGTAGCTTAGTGTTACTGTAGTACTGTAATCATTGCATTACTTCGTGTGCATACTTACCTGTAAATGATAGACCATTATTACGAAGTGTTACCGATAACTGCATGACTTCATGTGCTTTGAAAACATTTTGTATTGTAAAATGCGCTTTACAAATAAACGTGTCCATCGTTCTGTCCATCATTCACCAGCATACATTCATCTGTGCCGATCTCTCGTCATCATCTCCATAATTCTGGGATTCTTCGGGTCCATTTTTGCTTTGGTGGGGATGAAGTGCACAAAACTCGGAGGCTCTGAAATTGTGAATGCGAGAGTTACCTTTGCTGCAGGGATGAATTACCTTTTCTCAGGTAAACACTTGCACTCGTCCAGTATGTTCCAGTATGTGCGTGGAAGCTTGATTCGTGTCTCTGTTTCAGGTCTCTGCGGCATGTTTGCTTACAGCTGCTACGCCCACAAGGTTATTTCTGAGTTCATGGATCCAGATTACAAAGCAAAAAAGTGAGTATCTCAATACCCAAGAGAAATCAGATGAAATACGTTCTTGACATCTGCTGCTCGTTTGAAATTCGACCTGTCTGGTGAGCAGGTTTGAACTGGGATCAGCTCTGTTTGTGGGATGGGGCGGCTCGGCTCTCCTCGCGGCGGGAGGATTTGTGTACAGCATCACTGCAGGGAAGGAGGGCTGCCGATCCAGGTATCAGTGCACGTCATCGGTGGACTAAACCACAAAGAAATCTAATTTCAACCATAAAATCTTTAGCATTAAAAGATAGGAATGAACAACTATTTTACAACCATGTTCCTTGAGATTCACCCTGTTGACAAAGAGACGTTGCATTCATGCGAAGGACGCCCAACTGGTTTGTAATCAAAAAAGTGTGCTTAATCGGATCAAACTTGGCATTTTGTGTTCCACTGGGAATGCTTGTTATATAATTAATACTTAATGTGTTGTGCAAAGGCAATTATAAAGCGGATAGTTCCGGTGCTTGATTCTGATTGGCTGAGCCGCGTTCGAAGCTGTTGTAAATGACTCTACAAAGTAACATACACCTTTGTTTACGTTTGTCTGTTGCTCGGCAACCACTTTGTTGCAACCACAACTGTTTCTGAGGAACTACATTTGGTGGAAGAATACTGTTTTTATTAATATCATGACACTTTATTTGCTCTGTTTTATTTTGTGAAACCTTACTACGTATATGGAATAACCGTTTTATAAAAGCAGTAAGCCCCGTGAAGCCGTGGTTTACAGTGAATTTATAACAGCTAAGGGGGTTTTAGGCACTCCGCTTCGTGTCGCAACAACACCCCTTAGCTGTTATAAATTCACTGTAAACCACGGCTTCACGGGGCTTATTGCTGTAATTGAGCACAAATGCACATTTTCACACTGAATTGAGGAACAGGAATTGTTTGCTTTCTGCTCGCCCTTGTGTTGGTGAATTTTCGACAGATGTCCTGCCACTGATTAGATGTTTCTGATTTCAGCTCCAAGACCCAAGAGACGTCCTATCACACTCCTTCCTCCAATCTCTCTGAAGCGAACCAGAAGACGTACAGTCCACCGCTGTCGCCCATCCCTGACAGAGCAAACCAGACGACCAGCAAACCTCCCAAAGGATCTCATGCCGTGGACGCTTACGTCTGATGGGTTCCCTTCATGCAATCTGAGTGTTTTACAAAAAGTGTTTTTAAGTCTTTTGTAACACCATGACCACAGTGATTGAAACTAGTGTTTCAGTCCAAAACAAAAAGAATGGTTTGATAGAACTGAATTAATCTGCTGGTCTGTCAATCCTGATGACCTGTATCAATGGTGATGCTCAGGACTCATACACGTCCATTTCAAAATTCCAGACTTTTACAGACTCATATTTTCAGACTTCTCTGGATTTTTCAGACCATATTTCATAGTAAAAAATAAATGATTTAGTGTGTCGCTAAAGATTTCTTGTTCAAATTTGCATGATTAAATTCATAATTTGATACAATACTACAAATAGTGTTGTCACAGTACCAAAATGTCAGCAGTCTACCAATACCAGTAAAATGTCATGGTTCTCTGTACCATAGTAAAAACTATGAAATATTTAACTTTTAGAAATATTTAACAATTTGAAAAAAACAAAAACAAAACTAACTAGTTTATTATTAATGCTAATAATAATAAAAATACTTTAAAATGTAGCCTTCAAATATTTTCCAATTAAGTAAATATTGCTTTAAAAAGGTCAAGTGAAAAGTTATAAAAGTAATACAATGAAGAATAAAAAGTCATTATATAGAACAAGTGGCAAGTCTATTTATTCTGCATTTACACTCCAAGATCACAGATTTTTTTTGTCCCATCCGTTGCTATGGTTATTACTGTGACAATCATCACAATTTTGGATTCAGTACTGCATTTAAATATCTCGCACTCTTGGGAAAACTCCTGTTATAATCAATAAAGATGTCCACACTGCACAACGACTCTATTTACTCGTGTTTTCATTTCGTTGATTATACTGATAGGATTCGCAACCGTACTTAACTAAAGCGCTGAATAAAGACCGCTTAAACACCTCTGACTGGCCATTGTGTTCACATGCTCAACAAACATGTCTGTGATTGGCTACAATGCTCAACGCTCTGAAAACACACTGTAAACAGAAACGTTTGATGCTCCTCACTCACAGAGCGCTCACTAATACACAGCTGAAGAATGACTGCTATTATTAGTTATTTAAAATTTCTGCACTGCCTTGGTAACGATATACTGGTACCTTGACAACACTACAAACAAACAAGCCTGAATGAAGTTCAGTTTGAATGTTTGTTTTAATTAATAATAAGACGTACAAATTTGGGACCCACTTTAAGTGTCCTTAACTACCGTGCACTTACATTTAAATTAATCATTTGTTACAGTGCACTTATTGTGTATTCATGTTTTCACATGTACTCATATTTAAATAGCTACATCTATAGATGACCCTACCTCTACACCTCAAACCTGCCCTAACTTAACCCATATCCCACCTCAACAGCAGCAAAAGTGTTTGGCAATTCAACATGAACACTATAGGTGTATTTCACCTAATGATTAATTATTATTGATTAATAAACAAGCACAGGACAATGGTGACACCTGATTATAAACAGATTTCTGTTCCGCTGAAAATACAGGATTATGTTTGATATGCTTTCACACTTTGCTTGTATGATACATTTTTATTTTTTTTTGAATTCTCAATTTTATATTTTAGAAAACAGAATAATGGCCATAGTCTGGATACACAATTATTAGACAATTTCCATATTTTTCATGTGCAAGGCTTGGGTGAGAAATTAAAAGAAGCAGCAGAACAATCACGACGTCTTGATTGATTGTCATTCCACAGACGCAGAACATTTAAGAGGAACTCTTCCAGAACACAACAGTCACATAACACTTCTCTTAATCAAAACATTGGTTTCTTAGACTCTTCTTGAGACTGCGGTCATCGTGTGGAGGATCAGGGACAGCCAGGACTGGACAGGTGATAGGTGGACCACCTGACGTGGACGGGCTGGAAGGCCCAGCGGTCCGGATGGCCCATGTGCAGGAGTGTGCTGTAGGGTGAGCTGCTCCACTGGAAGACGGGCACCTGATCCCACGTGGGGCCGCTGACCGCCACCAGCTCCAGCCGGCTGAACATGCCAGCGCTGGTCACCTGCAGGACAACAGGAGCGTCAGACACAGCCGAGCTCAGACAGCAGCTGCACTCACACCGCTGCTCACCTTCATGTCCGTGCCGCCGTGAGGACGCTGCCTCAGAGCCCCGAACGGATACGAGCCGTTCCCAGGATTCAGGTCCGAGCGAGCCGAGATGGAGTTCTCCCCGTTCTGAGCGGGGTCACAGCCGTCACAGCGCGACAGAGGGTCCTCCTCGTAGTTATTATACCTGCAGAGGACACACACAGGCAGAGACTAAATCAAGACCAGCAAAAAACAAACAAACGGCAGCAAAGGGAGATGCTCTCTTCACATGAATTAAGAGTATGGGTAATACCTCATCAGACGCACCATGGACTCGATGTCAGTAACGAGAGACTGGTTTCTGCGGAAAATCTGCGCTCTCGGATTGTCGCTGAAGGAGAACCAGGATCCGTATTTCTGAACCAGCTCCTGCCCTCCGCTCGCATTGAACACCTCCTCAAAGTACCTACGACAGCAGAACACAAACAAACGCTCGCACTAAATCAGGGCTTCTCCTCGAACGATCGTCTGCAGTCAGTGCCAGCTGTTTAGCTTGCTCTGTTCCTACAGTCTACATTGATGCATTTGCATTATGACAAAGCGAAAAAAGTGTTCTCACACAGACCGATCATTTCACTTCATAAGACCTCAATATTTTGTCAGGAGCCACGGGTATTCATTTTGTGTTCCTTGATATGCATATTTTTAATTCTAAAAATAAAAAATGGGCAGCCACTTGCATTTTATCAATCTTACATTTTTAATGAATCACCAAGGAGCACAGTTTCAGCTAAACATCTTCTTTACTGTTCTACTGAAGAAAAAGAGTCGCCTGCATCTTAGATGGCCTGAGGATGAGAAAATTATCAGCAAATGTTCATTTTTGGCTGAACTATTAGATCCCTGCATTTCAGTTCAGGCCCGACGGGCCCCGTCTTTTTTACGCCCCTAGGGCCAGGCTTTGGGCCAATTTTCACGTCATAGTTCAGATGCGGGCCGGGCCTAGGGTCTGTTTTAGGTTTCTAAAACAGGTTTCTAGGTTTAGGTAAAAGATTTTTATATTTTACACATCCATCAGTTAATGATGAAAAAAAATAGTTTGCCGCACTGGTGGAAACAACACGAGACTGTGCTGCCGCGGCTGTCAAGAGCGGCTCGGTGTTCAGTGTCCCGCAGCAGCAAGAGTGCAGAGCGCAGCTGAACAGTTCTGCGTTCAAACGCATGCAATCGGCTTAAGCTTGCCGCAAAGCACCGGCAAAAGTAATTACCATGAATGTGTCAGACGAAATAGTAAGGAGATATTTGAATTATTTACTAATAAACTAGTGTTTTCTGACTCACCATCTCCTCATTAAACACGCCTTTAGAGAGAAAAAATAATAATTAACTAATTTTAATTAATTAATAATAATTTAATTTAAATAATAAAAATGTATGCATTTAGCAGACGCTTTTATCCAAAGCGACTTACAGTGCATTCAGGCTATACATTTTTTACCAGTATGTGTGTTCCCTGGGAATCGAACCCATGACCTTTTGCGCTGCTAACACAATGCTCTACCACTGAGCCACAGGAACAGAAAAAACGAAAGAGTTTTTGTTTTCGATTTGTTTTATTTTGTTAAGTAGTAATGTAAAACTTTCTATAGATATATTTATCATGTCTGCGAGGCATGTATTCGCTGAGTTTCGGTTCATTTTTGTGAAGCGCTCCTGTTCAAGACCGAGACGGCAGAAAGCGCATCATGTTTGTTTTCTTTATTTTATAAAAGCACAACGTTTTGTTGATATTGTGAGTGCACACAAATAAAAGTAGACCCTTCACAGTTACGAATGATGTATTACTCTTACCTTTATGAGCAAAAACGACGGCGTATTTCAAGTTGTTTCCACTGAAGAAAATGCAAGTGATCGCGCTTCAGGTCCTGCAAAGCGTGCTTTAGGGCCGGGCTAGGGACTATAGTTGAGGCTCGTGCAGGGCTCTATGAACTATTAATAGATCCAGAAAATCTGATCGGCCCAATTTTTTCATTGCTAAATTGGCTGAAATCGTCTGAAATGAATTAGAAAAGAATTGTACTTGCATAAGAAACTCTTATTGAAGTACTGCTCGTCAGTCGTTAAAGCCATCTGATGTGTGGTGACTGCATCACCATTACAGCTTAAGTGTTTTGTAGAATTTAATTAATTAATTTTCTCAATGAACACATGACTGCTATTACACATGCTATATAACTAGATAATATTTAGCATCATACACTATATTACTGCCACTATATAAATAAATCCTTTGATCAAATCTGTCCACCTAACGCACATCCAGCTGTCCAAATGTACAGGGACGTGATGCTAGATGTTTTAATGACAACAGATAATATTTCACCACAGCACCAAACACACATGGGCAGAAAGGTTTGTAACTCACGGGATATTGTAGCTGGCCCAGTAGCCAGTCTGAAACAGCTCTTCAGTTCTGTCTGCTGTTACGATCATTCCACTGCAGGAAACACAGACAGACAGCTCTTTTCACTTTCACTAACCGACAAGTGGTTTTGCACTGTTAGTGCCATATCTGCTGCTGTAATACAGCACAGATGAACCAACACACTGTCTTCTCTGTAAAAAATTATTTTCTTAGTATTTTAGTCTTGTTTTCTAGTACAAATAACTGAACATTCTTAAATCAAGACACTTTTTACTTGAGAAGAAAATTACTTGTTATGATATTAAAGGGGTTATATGATGCAATTTCAAGGGCTTTGTTGAAAACGACATGTTTGAGAGAGGCCTTCATAGAGGACCTACAATAATGTACAGTATTTGAAAAAGAATGTGTTTTTTGAACATTAAAGCATGTCAACATATTCTGTTACACCAAATACACAAAATAATGATCTTTAAAATAGCATCATATGACCCCTTTAAGACTTGTTTTGTAAAGAAATGTAGCAATTTTGTTCGTTTTTGCTTTAAAAAAAAAAAATCTGCCAATGGGGTAAGAAAAATTATTTTAATTCAGAGGGAAAACAAGATTTTTTTTCTAATTTTAAGAAAAAACACTTAATTTTGATACTTTTTTTTTTACTTAATATCTTCTGTCATTTTGCTTCTCACATAATTTATCTTGATTTGCATTTATCCTAAAAAGTAATGATAATGTAAATACAAATTTCTGAATGCCTGGCATTGTGACAAGCATCTTGAGATGTTCTGTCTTAATTATATAATGGATAAAAAAAGTCAAATTGACATTCTGCCTCAACGAGACTAAATCAAAGCACACTTACGGTATTTGCTCCAAAACTGTGAAGAGCCCTTGTTTTGTGTATCCCTGGCCCGGGACGAAAACCTTGTAGTCGATCACCATCCACTGATTGTTGTACCTAGCCAAGCAAGCGATCATCTGCTTTTATCACAGTGTTTGTGTTTAATAAGTTTGCGTGTACGCTAGATTAGAAGTCATTTACGTTCCGCTGTTGTACTTGCTGAAGATGTCAGTCCATGCTTGTCCGCTTTGAGCAAGTCGATTGGCTACGATGTTCCTCAGCCACTCCATGACAGCTCCACGGGGCCGTACGAATCTCCACAGCTCAGCGTTACTGTTGCCTATGGTGGTTTCCAAAGTTACCTGAAGATAAATCCATGAAAACAAACACAAATACACCAGAAATGCCAGGATAGATCCACCCAACAACATAATAGTTTCAACTAGAGAGAATCTCTCGATTAAAAGGGTTGTAACCGCAGGAAGAGTCTTACCAGACCACTGCTGAGCAAATAAAAGTCATCTCCTGAGAAAATACTGCCAGGATAGGAGGAAAACACCTGGATTCTGCCAGGAATAATCTCCTTTTCTGCAGGAACAGTGATTACATGTTATACAGTACAATCTAGCAGAGAAGTCATACAAGAGTACAACTATGACAGTACAGTTCTTAAGCATCTTAAGTCATTAAAATAGGGCTGCCACTAACAACTGTTTTTATTTCGATTATTATTGACTAATTTATCGATTAATCTAAACGATTAATCCCCCCCCCCA